AAGCCTGAGGCCGGGCCAGACACATTCACAGATGCCCCCCCCCCTGTCCCACACCACCAGCGCACCACCCAACGTCCATCACCCAGGGAGGGCCTGGTGGATTATGGGTGAGCACTGGACCGAGATGATTCCTCTCAATAGCAGCCATTCAAGCTGGTTTGTCACCACCAATGGCACCCATGGGAACTGTGGGTGTGGGTCAGGAGTAGGAGTGAGCCCCCCACACCGTAACCTTCTGACCGGGCGTTCTGTGTGAATGCCCCACAATGCCTTGCAATTGGCGACCGCAGAGTGTTCTCAATGTTCCGGTTGTTTTCTCATTAAGTCCACCGGCTTCATTCAACTTCATTTTCAATCTCAAGTTCAATTTTCTTTCAAATTTAGCTCGCTGCTGCTAATTTGCAATTCATTTTGCATTTCCTATTCCATAAATATTTATACCGGAGCAGCCAACTCTCACAACACACACACACGCACGCACGCACGCACGCACGCACACACACACATGCACACACACACAGCTCCTGTTTTCCCCCCTCAGATAAGCAGCTGAATGGATATTTGCGTTGGAGCTTGGATTAACTGGCCTATAACCTTGCAAGCAGCCCGGGATTTTCACATGCACATACATGTCCGGTCATAGTTGTAATACGGATATACACACTTGCACACATTACATAAAAAACATATAGCAAGGGCATAAGTAATCTAAGATACTGACTAAATAAAAAAAGATGGATGGTACTGAGTTGTAAGTGACAGACCTCTTGCCACTGACCCAGCTCGAAATGTTTGGTTCTAAAAACATTCTGAGAATGTTACAGTCATTGTTCTAGGAAGGTTTTCAGCGGGAAGTTTTATTTTGGTTCCCAGAATGTTCTTCTGAAAGGTAGGATAACGTTCTCTAAAAACATTCTTAAAATGTTTGGTGATAACATTGTTAGAACATTATGCCCTACTGTTCTTAAAACGTTTTCGCCAGAAGCTTTTATTTTGGTTCCTAGAATGTTCTTCTGAAAGGTAGGATAACGTTCTTTAAAAACATTCTTAAAATGTTTTTGATAACATTGTTAGAACATTATGCCCTACTGTTCTTAAAACATTTTCAGCTGCAAGTTAGATTTTTTATGTTGCCAGAATGTTATTATTTTAGAGAAGGATAACATGGNCATCCTCTCTCCGCCACGCCGACAACCGCACCGCCCCGCTGCGCATACCTAACACATTTAGCGATAGCGAAGAGTTAGAAACGACACAACACCTAATCAGGAGTTCAGTTGCTCTCCGTCGAGTTATCTCTGGTGCAGTGGGGAATAGGGGGTCAGGTCTATTATCCGTCAGACATAGCTGACGGGTATCTGACATTTACCGACGATCGACCACTTGATGACCTATATACCTCCCGTGACGACCTTTAAGTAGCCCCGCCCCCTTTCAACAAAAATCAACCCTGTATATCCGCTACTACTCCGAAGCGGAAGGCCCGACGAAGGGTCAAGAGCAACCCTGAAGGGTTGCTAATTCCGGGGTCGTTCTCACGTCTTCTATGAATTTTTTCTTCGTACCGCATATGAGGAGAAAAATCTCCCTATAAATATAGGGCATCGGTCGATGACGTATTCTACGAATACACGACGATAAAGGGGGGGTTGTTTCTTTACTATTCATAAAGGACGGAGGAAATGAAACCTCGGGTTGCTGTCACCCACTGGAATTCTCCTATGTCTTAATGTAAGACTCTTCTCCTTCGTCGATAAAGAGCAGTATCACAAGAATCAATAACTATTAACGTGCAATCCGTTTGGGGATCTAAGGCTTGTCGTTATAGTGTCGTTTAACAGTTTGGAATTTATCGTTCGCATTAACCCGTACCACCAGAAATTCGAAACCCAATCGAAGAATGAAAATTATTCGAAAATATTCAAGATTGTATTCGAAGTTTCAAATCTTACACGGACGGATCGTAATAGGTTTTCCATTGGTGTTATATATTACAGATTGCTCTGTCTCGACCACATTTTACGGTGTTATACAACCCGACGCCAATCATATCAATAAAGTTCGTCCCAAGCTACGTCCTAAAACCAGGAATACATGTTTAACCTTTACAAAGGAATTAGTAGATTCGTCATGTAAATATCGTCCTCCTTTTCAAAACACAGTTGACGAAAAATTTCTGAGGCACGAAAGTCTCAAGAGACACGGCAGCCTGTGTCCTTCTATAGCTTTTGGGTTTCAGGTTGTGTCAAATGTTAACCTCGGCCTTCGGTTAACGCCGGGTACGAAAATGGGGTTTTCGTTTGTGGGTAGCCAGACTTCCGAGATAACGGGACTCTTACCCAACAAACAGAACACCAGTCACTAGACACCCTTTACTCCAAACACTGTTATACTCCTTAAAAAAAAAATGGTAACCCCAAAGATTCAATGTTACCCAGGAAAACCTTATCGTACTTGTCCTGGGGCAAAAAGGAATTTGCTGCAGTCGCTTTTGTAATTTCTACTCGAACATGCCGTTATTACACACATATAAAAATTCCATCAATCGATTGTTCGACATCGATGAAGTCGGTTCCAGTAAACCTGCCATCCTGCACGAATCATTACTACTCCCCTAACGCAAATCATAGGTAGACTGTGACTTAGTTTTTTGGTCAACAAATAACTCTATCACTGTCAGTAGACAAAACTCTTTTACGTACAGCTCTTACGTTGTGAACTTTCGGATCGTAGCTCATTTCAAACATGTGCATATGGATGAATGTTTGTATCAACAACTGTGAGTTCTGGCGAAAGTAAGGTGACCTAAGTGGTCCTATAATGTGAAAAGAGTTGTTGATTTACCCGACTTAAACTGGAGCATATGAAAATGAACGTCTCCAGCCTCCTCTCTTCCCTCGGTGTCGCGAAACTTATATATAATACCAAGTGTAATAAAGTGATCAACGTACATACACGCGTTCTATAGTAGCGACATTTCATATCTTCCCGACCCCTGACTGTACTCTGTTTGTAAAGTTCTCCGTCCTCCACAAGAATTTTTGCACATATTAAGTAATTGAGTCTCACAAAACGAATCTCCCGTAGAATTTGCTATCCTTTGGTCCAACGGAGTTCAACCAGTTTTTGTCGACACACCTTATTTAATACCTACATCGAACTCGTCAGACGATTTTATTTGGCGAATAATCTCCCTATAAACTCGACGCAATTGTAAAAAGGTAATGTCATACTTTTTGGTTGGAAATGTCAAACCGATACACTAATATTTCGACGTCTTAATTGTGCAACCGAAAACAGCAAGGTCAACACAGTCAAGATCGTCTCTGATGTGCACTACCGGAAATGCTCACTCTCCTGCACTCGCAAGTATACTGAGTAAAGTTGTCTGTTCATGTCTGTGTCCTAGGCCTGTTTCGGAAGGTCATACGACTGACACTACTAACTTCCTCGAGTAACAGGGGGGTTGTAAGTGTTTGTCGGTGTGGAAATCGCAAGTAGTACCTCAGGACCGTGTCGAAAGGGCGCGAGCGGCTACTCTAGAGTGGAGATAGTTTAGCGGCTAGTCTAGAACAGGAACATGCGTGCGGGCTAGAGGATGCCTTTGCGAATTATTCGGGGTGGAGGTCACGCCCGCGACTGGACACCAGCTTTTCTTTTTCTCTCGTGCTTTTTATCCTCCCTTTTGTACTATTGTCCGACCCTAGACTTTGTTTATGTTGAGAATTGCTTAGTACCAGCGACCTCATTATCCGACGACACACACCACACCTCCCGCACACAACACCACACACACCCACGCCCACGCCGCACGCCCACCCCCACACCACAACACTCTCACCCGAACGAAGGACACATACGATTTATAATACCTTATCCTTACGTTTATACTATCTAACGCTTTAATCGTCCCGTCGCTCGATTTACTTTCTTTTAACTTGAAACTCTAACTTTTACTTCAACTTACTTCGGCCACCTGAATCTACTCTTTTTGAGTTGGCCTTGTAAACTCTGTGAGACCGCCACGGTTCAAACGTTCCTAACACCCGTAAGTGCTGTCTTCCGCATCTTCTCCTTATCCCCATTGCTTGTTCTGCTCTTTATCCTCACCCTATTCACACTCCCTTGATTCCTTCAGCTCCTCTGTTTCTCATATTAAAGATACATGTAAAGATGGATATGTTGCTTTAACATCTCCCTGCAGAAGTAGAGCTCAACTGTGATGTATGTAACCCGTTATGTCTTTTTGAATATTAGCTGAGCCCTAAGAGAAACAAATCTAAAGTGGAGGATAGCTGAGGCCGACCACTCTTCAGCGTTACTGGTCCTGCAGTTTTGTCAGATGTGTTCAGCACAGCAGGCAGGACTTTCTTCTTCTCTTCTCTTCTATTCTCCTGCAGGCTTTGTTATATGAAAGACATGTCAAGCACACAGGTCGCGTCAAATGGAAAACGGTGGAAATGTTAATTGTTTTCTTTATTAGAGCTGAGAATGTAAGAAAGACAATGTGAGCTGCTGAGATCCATGGGAAAATACGTACTTCAAAGGCTGGCTGCCGTGTTCAGTCAGCACTATGCAAAGTTGTCAAAGCGAGCTGGTCGGTCAGCAGCGATCCATTCTGTCAGCAAATCTCACCTTATTGTTGTTAGCTAGCACTTGTGTATGTCACGTTGAAGTGCAGTAAACCTACAGTACTTCAAGAAAAGGGAGAGAAAAAAATGCTTGGGGAAAAAAAAAAAAAAAGGCCTCAATAATAATAACTCTTGCTCACAAGTCGACGTGTGAACTCCTCTGAGAGTGAAGCTTCAAGAAACGGCACATGAAAGAACATTCTGTCCTATCACACCTTACGTAACTACTGTCACCTTACCCTACAATATCCATCCCCCCATCTCCCACTGTCACCCTCACCTGAGCCGGAAGAGGCGAGGGCTCACCATCTTTCATGCTGAGCTCATATCCTTTCATCTCCTCATGTCGTTTCCTTTAATCTCCTGCAGGGAATGGCTTCTTCTGCGCGTTCCAAAGGGGAGCACAAGCAGAGAGTGTTCTTGACGGTCTCTTTCGGCGGGATCAAGATTTACTGTGAAAGATCAGGGGTGAGTAGCATGTCAGCGAGGCCCTCGCCAGCTGCCGTACTGTGAACCTACAGTGTAGGACATCCAGAGGGCAGACGCTCGCACGCTTCAGTGCATAGCTGTTGCCAACCAACGCCATCTTGTCAGCCCGGTTGACTTATTGCTCCCACTGAAGTACCTGTGTGGAGGGAGGAGGATTCTCAAGGTTGTGTTGAAATAAAAACAATTGCATATTTATTCCAAATTCCTGTCCAAATATCAATTCGGAATGTCCACATAACATGTTGCCCTTTAGCTCATAAAGATTGAACTAAGAGCTGTAACTAATTGATTAGACGACAGAGGAAACATAATCGGTAATGCTGATAGATTTATTATTTAGGTAATTTTGTATACAAAAAAATGATGTTGAGCCTCTGAAATGTGGAGGTAGTTTAATTGCTTTGTTTTATTTTATATCAAAGTGAGGCTGACAAAACAAGAAATGTAAAGACTTTAAAGAAACTTGTATGCACATTTTTCACAGTTTTTTTGACATTTAATGGACCGGACAAATAACAGATTCCTAGAAAATATTCTGCAGATGTATGAAAATTAATGTTAGTTTGAGACACAATTGAACTTGACAGCTTTACACTGCAGGTCTTGTATTTGATATTTAACCCTAAGTAAACTGGGTTAACCCATTAGATCTAAGGTCTACTGCAGGCCCTTTACTGTAAGCTCTGTCAGGCCCTGTCTGCTTGCTAATGATAGCGCAGTGAGCAATGTTACGGTGATGTTATGAGACGGGCTGTTTCCGCCTCCGTACTGGCCTCCATCCCCCTGGCGGGCTCCGAGGCCTGCTGTTCCATTACAGGATGATCGAGGGGGCCCGGCTCTCCCCTATCCTGGGGCGTAGCGTTGGCTGGATAGACCCACTATGCTCATCAGCGCTAACCGATAATTAGCACTCAGTTCCACCCCTTAATGATCATTGCCGCTAATGCTAATTACACCACGGCTCCACCTCAGCTGTCGTTACAGCTAAACTGATAATTACGCAACAGCGTTTGTCCCATGGCTGCGACCCCCAGCCACACCACCAACCGTCTACTCGCCCCCCCCAAAACCCAAAAAAAAAACACCCATCTTTGATAACATCTTCTTTCACTGTTAATGAAAAAGAACATTAAGCCCTGCGCCACCACCAAATAGCTCACCAGCTTTCTGACAAGCTCATTTGTTGTTTTGGAAAATGCCCCCTAATGCTCCTCATTTTATTTACTGATTACCGGCAGTAAATAACACTCCACACTTAATATCCCTCTTGAGCTATTATGGGGGAACGGGGATGAGCAGTGTCAGCAACACTGTGATGGAAATACTTTATGTAAAGCTGACTTGATTCTGTGCTGAATCCAGTAGACTAGTCGTATTAGTTTTGTATTTTACATTAATCTGAGACGTTACCAGCGACGCTCCCCGCTGAAAATCGGCAAATTTTTGAATGAAAGCTCCTCCCCAAGTCCTAAGCTTATCTCTGTAGAGGAACTGCAAGTGGGGGGGGGGACAGATTGACAGTTGAATTACTGTGTGTGTATATCTGGTTGTGTGTTTATGTTTTGCGAGGTTTCAATAACAAAAAAGTCATTGTTTCCTGATTTTGGATATCAGAGCGTCTCAAAACCTGCTTATATAAGAGAGTATACAGTAGTAAGGAAGTCCAAGAGATTTTACACTATCTGACAATCTGATTATACATTGAATATTAACCATAGTGCCTATAGAGTACTGTGTAATATAGATTGGAACACCCTTGAGTCTCTCCTCCCTCTGTGTTGGTTGCGTTTGGCTCCACAATATGCAAAGATGTTTAAAGTAGGTCTGACCTACTTTCCCTGCCAACACAGTACTTGTAAAACACTATTTAAAAATGGAACAAGACATGCTTTTGCATCTTTAAGGGGAGCAAGATTGTCAGATTTTCCGTTTTCATCAAGCCAATGTGGTCCTTTCTGTAACCCTTCACGTGTGCCATGTAGGTGCTCATGCATCACCACTCAGTGCACGAGATCAGCTACATCGCCAAGGACACCAGGGACCACCGGGCCTTTGGCTATGTCTGCGGGAAGGAGAGCCACCACAAGTTTGTGGCCATCAAGACGGCACAGTCGGTATGACATTTTCTGTTTTTAGGTTACTTTAGGTTAGGTCAAGTCTCAAGCAATAATAGACCAGAGCCAACATCTTCATATTCTGCACTTAAATCATCGGGTCATGTACAGGACTGTCTCAGAAAATTAGAATATTGTGATAAAGTTCTTTATTTTCTGTAATGCAATTAAAAAAACAAAAATGTCATACATTCTGGATTCATTACAAATCAACTGAAATATTGCAAGCCTTTTATTATTTTAATATTGCTGATTATGGCATACAGCTTAAGAAAACTCAAAAATCCTATCTCAAAAAATTAGAATAGTTCCTCAGACCAAGTAAAAAAAAAAGATTTATAACAGCAAAACACAATCAAACATTTGAAAATGTCCATTAATGCACTCAGTACTTGGTTGGGAATCCTTTTGCACGGATTACTGCATCAATGCGGCGTGGCATGGAGGCAATCAGCCTGTGGAATTGCTGAGGTGTTATGGATGCCCAGGATGCTTCAATAGCGGCCTTTAGCTCATTAGCATTGTTGGGTCTGGTGTCTTTCAGCTTCTTCTTCACAATACCCCACATATTCTCTATGGGGTAGGTCAGGGGAATTTGCAGGCCAATCGAGGACAGTAATGCCATGGTCAGTACACCAGTTACTGGTGGTTTTGGCACTGTGGGCAGGTGCCAGATCATGCTGGAAAATGAATTCCTCATCTCCATAGAGCTTTTCAGCAGACGGAAGCATGTAGTGCTCTAAAATCTCTTGGTACACAGCTGCATTTACTCTGGGCTTGATGAAACACAGTGGACCAACACCAGCAGCTGACATGGCTCCCCAAACCATCGCTGACTGTGGGAACTTCACACTGGATTTCAAGCAACTTGGATTTTGCTCCTCTCCAGCCTTTCTCCAGACTCTGGCGCCTTGACTTCCAAATGAAATACAAAACTTGCTTTCGTCTGAAAAGAGGACTTTGGACCACTGTGCAACTGTCCAGTGCTTCTTTTCCTTAGCCCAAGTCAGACGCCTCTTCCGTTGTCTTGAGTTCAGAAGTGGCTTGACCATGGGAATACGGCTATTGTAGCCCATTTCCCGGACACGTCTGTGAACAGTGACTTTTGGTACCTGGACTCCAGCATCAGTCCACTGTCTTTGAAGCTCCCCCAAATTCTGGAAGCGACTCTTCTTCACAATGCTGTTAAGGCTGCGGTCATCTCTCTTGGTTGTGCAGCGTTTCCTGCCACATTTCCCCCTTCCAACAGACTTTTTGTGGATGTGCTTTGAAACTGCACTCTGTGAACAGCTTGCTCTTTGAGAAATTTCTTTTTGTGTCTTACCCTCCTGATGGAGGGTGTCAATGACGGTCCTCTGGACAGCAGTCAGATCAGCAGTCTTCCCCATACTTGTGATTTAGTTTACTGAACCAAGCTGAGTGTTTTTTAAGGCTCAGGAAACCCTTGCAGGTGTTTCGAGTTAATTAGACGATTCAAGTGATTCGTTGAACACCCTACTAGTATACTTTTTCATGATATTCTAATATTTAGAGATAGGATATTTGAGTTTTCTTAAGCTGTATGCCATAATCAGCAATATTAAAATAATAAAAGGCTTGCAATATTTCAGTTGATTTGTAATGAATCCAGAATGTATGACATTTTTGTTTTTTTAATTGCATTACAGAAAATAAAGAACTTTATCACAATATTCTAATTTTCTGAGACAGTCCTGTAAGTGACATGTCTGACAAAAATAATTTTGTTAATACATTAAAGAAAGGAAAAATCTCAAAGGTCACTCAGCATATGAATTATAATAATTTATTGATGATTATAACACGGTTAATTCAAGTTCTTGTCACCTCAGTATTTTTTTTTGTGGCTGAACTTTTTTAGGTTAGGTGTCTGATTGAAATAATCCCATAAATACATTACACAGTTGTTTATTATAAAGGCTAATTGAATTGAGGATACCTATGAATTAATTCCTTGTCACCTTGGGATTCTGTTTAAGGGTTAGCTACCTGTAATACAAAATATCACAAAGGCCAATCCCCATTATAAATAATAATAATAATTAATTGAGGTTAAATAAAGTCAAGCAGTTAGATTATTTGTCAAATCAGAATTGTGTTCAGGGTTTACTATTTGTACATAAGTCGTCTGACTGAAATAACTGAAATAAATAAATAATGTTTTAATCACAAAGGTCACTAGAAGAGGATAACACAGTTAAATTAAATCCTTATCATCTCAGAATTTTTGAAACTATTTTACCCTTAGAGTTTTTTCTAGTTGTATTAGTAAAGCTTTTAAAGTATTTCAGCAAACAAGTTAATTATCTTCCTGCCTTGTTCATTTTCACCCAGATCTTCTGGACCATTTTAAAACTCCTCTACCTCTGTTTCTCGCTGCTTTCCTCCACATGTCCATCTTTCAAAACACTGCTCTTCATTCACCTTGATCTCTCTGAAAAAACTATTCTTTATTTCCTCAAATTTGTATTTATTTGCCAATTTCCTTTCCTTTCTCACTTCCCTCTTGTTAATATTTGTACATCCCCGTCTTCCTCTTCGCCCAGGCGGAGCCTCTCATCATCGACCTGCGCGACCTCTTCACGCTCATCTACGACATTAAACAGCGGGAGGAGATGGAGAAGAAAGCGCAGAAGGACAAACAGTGTGAGCAGGCGGTCTACCAGGTATGACATGTTTTTCTCAGTTTCATTTCCCACTCGGAGGCGAGGTCACACATTACATCTCGGCCAGCAATTCATTCACACAACATAAATCTTCCTCTGAAGTGCATCCCAGACTGTGTTTGTATGCACCATTGATTTCTATATTGAATATCTAAATATAATGGAAATGCAACAGGTTTGTTTTATTGGAGTCAGGTATGTGTGACAGGAAACGCATGTGTGTTGTTATGCTCGCTTGCAGGAAAGGGCACATAACATGTATTTTTTGTTACCCGTTCTTCCTCCATTTCCTTTCTAATGACTTTCTAAATTGGGCTGCACCGTCTCACTGTTTTAAAAAACCAAAACGTGTCATCTGCCTTGTGTCCCACCCCTGCACAGACCATCCTGGAGGACGAAGTGGACGACCCAGTTTACCAGGTAGGTCCAGTGGCACACAGCGCAGCAACCAAACACTGCTGACTGTGATGCTTTCTAACTGTTTTTTCACTCTTAAAGCTTTGAATTTTACAAGAAAAATCAATTTAAATATCTCCTCCAGTCACTGATCTGCTTGAATTAATGATTCATGATATTCCACCATTCCAGTAATACACTGAAGACCATCCTATTGACAGTTTTGTTCAACCATTCAACTCCCATTTGCCAGTGCAGTGTTGTAAAACCATATTTTTTCAGTTGATCTGTGTCAATGTTCTTCCAAAGAGATGCCCACCCCCCAACAGACTGGTTGTTACCCCTTCCCCTTCTTTATAGCCTTGTGTATTTATTTGCCTGACATGTTTTATTTTTTTCTGTTTGCTCACACTGAATACAGACAACACTAACTCTTACTCTGAATGCTATGTTCAGTGGTACGTCCAGCCACCCCCCAGAAGTGTGTTTTGCATAAAGTCATTCCATGTGCAGCTTTGGATTATGTTGATGTTGGTTGACAAAACTCCACACTGTGGCCAGAATCTTAAAGGAGCACTTTGACATTTTGGGAAATTCACTTTATACTTTCTTGCTGCCGATACGGTTGGATACAATTCATTTTATTCACAAATACAAGTACAATCATAAGACATAATGGGGATATGTAAAATGGGACAAACCAATACACTATTCTAAGCTTTAGAAGAGGGTCTCATCAAACTAAAGAAAGAGTATTTACAATATATATAACACATTTAGAATTAGAGAGACTTCATTTAATATACAGAAACATTTCAAGCTAAAGACACCTAACATTGACCAAATACCCTCAAACTGTATCAGCAGTCAAAACATTAGATTTCAATCTTCAATTTTGACATATTTGGTTACCAACTGCTTCCTTAAGCTCTTTTTAAAGATCAATGGAGCCAGCAACTAATTTGCCTAGTTGAGCATGAAGACTGAAAACAGGGGGAACTTTTAACCTGGTTTTGTCCAAAAGTAAAACCAAATGTGCTTAACTGCACTAAAATCAAGCTACAGTCTTAACTTTAGCATTGATTTAGTTTTTTGTCATAAACTATAGTCTCTTTTTTGTCATGTTTTTTTCATTTTGGTATCTCCCAAGCATTTTCAAGCTACAGCTGTTGCCATTTTTGTTGTGTACAGTTGCCATGGTTACAGGGGTTTGTATTATCTTTCTCAAGGTTAGCGGTGAAGGACATGTCCATGTTAACTCTGTTACAGGTGGGGTAGGTAATTCACTTCAGAAACACTTTTTGTTATATTCCATGGAATGCTCTTAACATCCCGATAGCAATGAATAAATTAAATGCTTTGACAATAAATACATAAAAAAATGTCATCTGTGGAAGCCGTGGCGCTGTAAAAAGCACGACCAATGATCTGAGCCGGCCCGGCTAAAATAACTGGATGGCCTACCTGCCTGTCAGCCTTCCATCTGTGCACAAACTTATCTCGTGCCCTCATTGGTCATGTGCGCGTTCGTGTGTGTTGGAGGAGGGGTTCTGTAAGGAAGTCTGAGGGGAAGGAGCAGAGTTTTTTCGGCTGCGTACTTTCAAATTTTAACGCACTCGAGCTGGTTTCTCCATTCTTACCTACCCTACCTTTAAGTCATGTTGACAGAAAACAGACTCTCCTCAGTAAATCAATTTATCATTTACAAACGCTGGCTGATTGAACAGAAGGCTCACCTTGCATTAGCATTCAAACAAGCATTAGTTCAGAAGCTAGATTCAACCACTGTGGTTTTCTGCGTTTAGATCCTATGGTTTAGATCCAGCAGAGAAGCTCAACAGTTACGTAGCGTTGGGGTATTAATATAGCATCTTCAGGAAATTTAAGAGAGTTGACATCCTTCCTAGAACCTTCTCATTCCTTCCAACATGAAACACACCCAACTTAAAGTAACGTAAACATGTAATTCTCCACAGAAAGTTACTCTACTTTAAACAAAAATCTGTGTGCTGCCTGCATGTTTTTGTAGTCCGGCTCAACTTTTTTTAGGCACTTCTTGTCTAATTTTCACTTCATTGTAGAAGAATTTAGCCCGTAAATCTGTTTTTTCAAGACCTGAAAGCGTCAAGTAACATTTTGACAGAGACATCATATTCCTGGTTGAAAATACTTCTAGCTGAAGATGGCAGTGCAACAGCTATAATTCTGCACAGGAGATGTATTTGTGCAGTGGAGGATAATATTGATAATTAGAAGCTAGGCTATGCGTGTGATTCTGCTTATGTAGCAGGTTGTTTAAAATGACTTCTGTTCATCAAACAACCATTAGCTCAATTTTGTCTGTCTTATGTTGTCCTTTAGTTTCTATTTGTTGACAAAAATGTACTTTTTCTTTTCAATAGTTACTCTTCATAGTGTGTTTTATTCACAATTAGACAGTGTCCTTTGTTTCCAGTCATAATGCTAAGCTAACAAAGCTAATCCATTGTTAGCTCTAGCTACACATTTATCGTACAGATATGAAAAAGGTATCCATCTTCTCGTCTTATCTTCGGCAAAAAAGTGAACAAACATATTTCCCAAAATGTCAAAAAATAATGTTTTATTTGAGATCCTTTGAGACTTTTTTTTATAAATACATATCTTAAGAGGAGACACTGACCAAAGTGAGACTTCACTCATGGATCTCAAGTTGAACATGCTGACCTCTCAAAGAGGTGGAGCATCATATCATTGATGTTAAAAGGAGACCTCTAGCTTAAACCTCCACATTGCCTTGAACTACTGCCTGACCTATTATACTTGTGCTCTTTCCTCTTCCCACCTCAATCTTTTTTTCTTTTTCACCACTTCCCCCCCACCCCCATTCACCGCCTTTTTTTATTCGCAATTCCATTTCACTCCCTGCCGACGCCATTCTCGCTCCCCTGTGCTTTCATTTATTCTCGTCATGTATCACTCCCTCGTTGTATCTCTCTGTTTTATGTGCCAACCTCTCTCTCTGTCTTCCCATCTCATTGTTCTCTGCACCTCTACGCCTTGCCCACTACTTCTGTTCTATAGTACATAGTGTTTGAGGCTGGACACGAACCCCTCCGTGGCCACCAGTCAGAGGAGAGCGTTTATCAGGTACAAAGACAAGCATTGCCCCCCTTTTCTTCTCCCTTTTCATACCCTGTGATATAATATTATGGTAACAGTACTAACATGACTGTAAAGCACCTTTCCTAAAGAAGTTACAAAGGGCACGTTGTTTTTGGAGAAAAAGGTTTTCTGAGGATTCAGTAGAAGGTCAAACTAGGGTTTCAGTTTTTAACATGGCTGAAGATAAAACACCATCTAAGAAAGAAGTGAATACAGCTAGGATCTATTAAAAGGGTTATATTCATGTTCAAGTTACAACTGGTAGCATTAAGGTTAAATCAACACTAACCATGGGAACAAATGCATTGCATTCCATGTGGCTTCTTCACAATAAAAGCCTCTGTTTCGCCAGTTAGTCACAGCAGAAGGATATTTTATTTTATTTGCATTAGCAGCAACTCAATACAGCTCTGCGCAATGTAATGAGAGCATACACTAAACAGTGAGGTTATCAACAAATACAATGACATGCGTGCATCGTCACTTTGCATAAGAAGGCAATTTGAATCCAGCATGGGATTGGCGGTCTCCGCCCACTACCAATGAAAACTCCAACAAAGAAAATGTTAATACTTTCAAAGGCCATTTCCAAGAAGAATTATGGCTTTTCGTTTGATTTTAGGAAAATCTTTAGGATTATATATTTAGAGATAATAAAAATACCAAAGAGAGTTAGGGCCAGTCTTCAGAATCGGCGTAGGAAGATTTTTATATACATTTGAATCTCGAGAAATAAATCAAACCAGATTATACCTGCTAAAGCTTATGTGTTTATTCTCAAGATTTCAACACTTATTTCAACATTTAAACTATCCATTTTTGAAAACTAATTCTGATATTTTGATTTGAATCAAACTCATTTGTTTCCCTTATGCCTGACCCTATCACTCTTTGGTATAAAACATTCCTCACGTAGCGTCTAAAACATCTAAAGAAGAGTCAAGGTCAGTTGTTCAGTCTGGATAGTTCACCCAAAGCCTTTAATATCTCCAACACTTTGACCTTTTGGCTTTGGACCAAATGAATGACTAGCTAGGACTCCAGAGACCTGTGGTATGGTTTAATCCTACCCTCCTCCCTCCCTTTCTCTCAGTCTCTCCCTCCTCCTCCGCCTCTTTTTGCCTCTCTGTATCTTGCGTTCCTCTGAAGATGAAAGATGCAGAGAAGGAGATTTATCACTTGCCATGCCATTTGATCTCAGAATGAAACAAGATCAATAGGCTTGAGGAAAACGTAAGGAAAAGTTGAGGGAGTGATGGGGAGACAGGCAGCGGGGATAAGAGCAACAGATAGTCTGAATAAATGTGAGAGAAATATCCAAAGGAGGCCAGAGCCGAGGCGTTTTGATATCGTCAGATGAACCAGTTGAGACATACTGTTGCAGAATAACAATAAGCTTTTTTTAACACTCCCAGAACCAGCTTGCACCGTCTCTAGCAATGTTTGCAATCAATATTGATTTAAGTAGAATTGATTTAACGAAACAGCTGTAGAATTAGCATAATCCCATTGCTCTAAAAGATCAAACTAAATCATAGAAAAATGGACTAAATGGAAATTGATTCAGAATGCAATAGACATGTCTAATTCTTGTTTTTTAATAAACTAGCCTGTTAAAAAAGAAAACATAAAAAAAGGGTGTTGCTCTGTTTCTTACGGATGAATCGACCTCCAATCCAATGCAGGTCCCAAGCAGTCAGCAGAAGGACGGGATCTATGATGTCCCAAAGCGCCATTTCATGACTGTAGGTGTTTTTTTGTTTTATTTATTATTTGTTTCTTTACTCTTCTTCTTGCAAACCTCTCTTTAACATCCTCTTGAAGGAAGCGCCTCAAGCCCCTCTTGACGGTGCCCATTGGTAATGTCAAAAACACATTTTCCAAGCCTAGAATGACTCAGACTGTGGTGATGATGAAACAAATTTCCATTGGTCATGCCCAGCCTGTCTCAAGAGGTAGGACGAATTGATTGGTCAGCCAAAGTCGAACATGTCGACCATTTCACAGGACGTTAAAGACGCCGGCTACGTATCCTAAATCCAATCCTGACTATGACGCATGTCCAACCAGATGGTTGAGACAAAATCAGTTTATGAGGCCCACCGATCAGATAAATAAAGGGGGGGCTGTTCCGTCCTTCCTCGGAGGATGAGGTGGAGAGGTTTGTAGTTTGGGTTGGTGTTGGTTTGAGCTGCATGCAGTACAATCTAACACTCATTAAAGCTGTACCTGAAAAACTATATATGGAAAACAGACCCAAAAGCATTTCCCCCCTTTTCATCAAAATGAAAGTATATCTCATCTCATCCTGCTAGGTTTTATGAGTTCTTCACCACCACGCTATTACATCCCTCAAATCGCTTGTACAAACATTCATTCAGGCCTATTTCTCCCCAATGTTCACTGGGAGACAATTTCCCCACAACTTTTGAAAACAGCCCCATCAAAGTGCTTCTGTGCTCTCCGCTGTTTGTACGCTCAACGCTCAGCATATCAAACAGATAAACTTCCCCGGCCCCCGCGCTATCTCACCCAAACAGTCCATGCCGGTATAAGTAGCAACGCTTCCATATCTCTAAGTGTTACTGCTTGTCTGTTCATTCAGTTGGAGCTTTTTGAGAGCCTCCGTGCACCCCTGATGTGTGTCGGTGCCTGCAGGGGGAGACATCTGTGTACACTGTTTACCTTTTCCCCAAATTCAGACTCATTCTGTGACCCTGAATGGTCCCAAAGTGCCGTGCAAACTGTGCAACGCGCCATGTCCCAGCTTATTCAAGGAGGACATAAACACCCTGTTAGCAGCAGCACTGATTACTGCTATCCTCCCTTTTTTTCTTTCTTTGGTTTAAATATGTGTGTGTTTGTATCAGTTTCTTTGCAGCTTGCAAGTCCTGTGTGTTTTTGTGCTTCTTTACGGTGATTCATTGTCTGCTTGTGCATGGCCCCAGAGACATTTCATGCAACTTAGCCATTCCATAGTCTCTTCCATAACCGCGTCCCCCTGCTCCTTTTTAAGTAGTGCGAGTGGAGGACATGGAGGGACTAGAGCGTCTGCCCACAGGGTGAGGTGGCCTCATTGTCTCGGTCGGGTGGTTCCAGGAGCTTCTTCTTTTCATTTATGTGATGAAATAAACACACTCCTCTGTGTATGTATCTGCTCCTGGAGAAGAATCAGCATGATAAAGCAGCCCGGGCTCTCACGGGGGCCCCGCGTCTTGATTGGCAGACATAAGAATATCTAATCAGAGTCTGTTTTATGGGACTGAATAGCCTTTTACCCACTCAATTATAGCGAGCCATGAAAGATTCATTTTAGATCCATTTTCTGATAAGGGAACGAGGGGATAGTTGTTTCCTGCCATCCACAGCACAAACCGCCTTTGTGAATAGATTTCACTCCCCACTCCTACCCACCAATGCAACCACCATACCCTATCTGGAGACAAATTCAAGGTTTCATGAGTGTGCAAATCTCATTGTCCGGATGTATCACTGGACTTTTTCTCTTTCTTTTGGCCCCTCTGTTCCACTCGCAGAACATCAACCACTTTGATCTTTTCGGCGACATGTCCACCCCTCCCTCGGTAAGTACTGAAACCAAACCCTGGTTGTGTAATGTAAACATGTTTATGGAATTCATTTATCTGTGACATTTAATTAGGACTGTCGCAGAGATCTAAATCACCCGACAGAACGATAAGTGAGATAAAGATGAATGTGCAGCCCAGTGACTTTTAGGTGACTTTGACAGAAGTGACATCTGTCTGTGTGTGTGTGTGTGTGTGTGTGTGTGTGTGTGTGTGTGTGTGTGTGTGTGTGTGTGTGTGTGTGTGTGCTTCACCTCTCAGATGCCCCCATCACCTGCCAACACACTGGACCCGAGCCGGAGCAGCCGCCAGCAGCAACATGCTGCCGAGTTGTACGCCCCCTTCAGCCCCACCTCCCTTCCATCAGGTAGCCCCCATCTCCTGAAACGTTGTATCCTTTATCACAAAACGGAACACAGGAGAGAATAAAGTGCTGGTGGGGATGTGTTTCTTTGATGTGCAGTTGGATAAAAAACATGCTAAGATTTAATGTAGAACAAAGATACAGTAAAGCAATATCTCTTCAAGGACAAATACTGGTGGGTTGTGCATATTTTAGAAAAAACATTGACATTGTGGCTTCCAAAGAACGTTCAAGAACATCCCAACATCCTTCAAGAACAGCAGCCTTCTTTAGTGCAGCAAACATCATCATGTCACAATGTGTCTGTCTATGATAACACAGCTTATGAAGATGATTTTTGATGACAGACTAAGAACTCTCAGATGTTTTTCTGGAAGCTTTTCAAGACAGCGTTTGCTTGCAAAGGCATTGCCATACAACAGTTATTTATATTGAACACAAATCTATATTTTGATGAGTGATCTCAAACTGCAAGATTCTGCAGGTTTGGTAGTCCTCCCAAAAATGTGGTCCCCAATAAAAAAATTATTTTCTGCCACTAGGGGTCTATCAATCAAAACAGACAACAATGTTAAGTAGAATAGGATCATGGGAGGTATCAATGCAGACAGCTTCTCCCCGATAGGATTCCTTTATTTATGATCAATGTCTCTCCAATTTAGTTTGGCTGCTGCACATGTTCAACTTAGATCTAGACATCTGATGACTAACATTCTTTATGAGGTTAAAAATGATCAAGGTCTAAAAAGGGTATCTTAGAGGTGGCTTGAAACTGGAAAAAAGTAAATTCATGACAGCTTCATGCAGAAAACCACAAAGCAATGCATCCTCCAAGGGGATATCGCTATTACAGGCGTCTGAATGAAATGAACAGATAAAAATAACTCGTATAGGTCTGATCATTGTTAGACATTAAGTTATATTATTATACCTTTAAATGTTCCCTTTTGCTTTTACATTTCCGCACTGAATATCTGTCCTTAGACAAATATCAAAAGACAACATGCTGTAATTTGAAAAATTGATGTGTTGAATTTTGAATCACAGGATACTAAATGTGTTCTGCATCCATTATAATAATCTCCTCCACTTCCTCTTCCTGCCTTAATATCATTCAATCGGTTTTCCTTCTCCTCCCTCCCCTCTCTCTCAGGCTATATGACCATGGGTCCAGTGCAGGCTGCGCAGTGGGCTCAGCAGCCGTACCCCGGCCAGGCCCAGACCCTGGCCTTCCCGGTGCAGGGGCCCCTCCAGGTGGCCCAGGTCCTCCCCGGGGGTCAGCCGCTCATCTGGAGCCAGGCCAACATTTTCCCGGCCACTCAGCAGCAGTGGGCGGCCATGGCGGCGTACATGCCGGCCCAGACTGTGGGCGTGGGGGGGCACGCCATAACAGCTGCCATGCTCCAAGGCCTGGTACCCATTACCACCATGTGCCCGCAAGCCTGCGACTTATCGGCCCCCTCCTCGGCCATCACCAGCCCCCAGCACACGGCCGACCCCTCCCTGCTCCACAGGCAGCTGAGCCTGGGCAGGGAGGGGCTCGGCGCGGAATCAGACGCAGGCGAGGGCCCCTCTACATCAGGAGTTGGACCTGGATTTGCGTCCGCATCGGTGAGCAGGTGTGGGACCCCGGGGCCCCTTGGCGTCCCGGACACGCTGCTCTGCAGTCAGCTGCTGCCGCCTTCAGCTGCCGCCACACAGGAGGAGGAGGGCAGCTGCAGTGACCTTGATCTCTCTCGGATGACCTTGAGCCCGGGTACATCCTCGTCACCGTCTACTGAATCCCGTAAGTATTCCTTATTATCTTAACAATCTAACATCTTTGTGCCATTCTGTGTAAACCTTATTTTAATCGTAATCTTTATCCTGGAAGGCAATGTTACGGACTGGACTATTTGAACAACTATTAGATCTAGCCTTTTTTGCATTCATTGTTTCAAGAGGATGCATCATGCTTACTTTGATGACCCCTGACTTTTGGGGTTTTGAATTATATTTCTCCAAAAGGGTTGGATTATTATTTCCTTTCAAATTGAATACAGTGCACCAATGTAGAACAAGTACACTATTATAAAGAAGCCCTGAGGAGCAAGTGAGAAAAAAACCTGGAGGTTGATTTTTTGTTTATTTGTGAAAAAGGTGGGACAAAATGTGGCAGGATTAAAGAGTTGTTGTTAATAATAATAATAATAATAATAATAATAATAATAATAATAATAATAATAATAATCAATTTGATTTATAAGCGCACTTTTCATTTGCGTAAACAAAACTCAAAGTGCTTGTTGTAATCCATGTTTACCTAACAACACATGGAAACAAAGAAATAAATGGTTCAAGGCCAGAAGTAAGTAAAGAATAGCAGAAAGTTAAGAAAATAAATAGTACAGGCCACAACAGAGTTACACAGTGTAATGTCAGCAAGTAGGGGATTACAGAGGAAGGAAAGAGACCTTGCAGCCTGCTGCCTGACTTTAATTTTGGGAACTGTTTTCTTAAGGGGGCCTGTAACCTTTTTCAGGTTTATGTTTGTATTTTGTGCCTCCACTGTGACATGTTGCTATGCTTTAATGTTCAGAAAGCTCTTCTCATTCTACCTCTTTTCACCCTCTGTCTGAAACCGTGATTGGTCCTTCCCCGTAGCCCATCACAAAGGAGCGCTAGTCAATAGAAGCACGATTGTTACTTAGTGATGTCATTATGTTATGGAAGTCAACAAAGGAGTCCAATGAAGGCATTTCCGGCAGAGTGTGTGTGAGAGGAACTCCCTCTGGAGGGAACTAATGATCAGCCTTTGCAGACCATTAACAAGCACATAAACCTATACAACACACTAAGCATAATGGGTCCTCTTTAGACAGGAGAAAAGGGGTGGAAAGAAAGGGCGTGCACATTCGGAAAGTCGTGTTTTATTTGATACTGTGACGCATATAACATGTCAAGTACAAAATAAACTAAAGTGGAGGGGATGACATGCTTTAAAGGTCATGTGGATTTGAATCAACTGCTTCTCTGTTTGTGGTTAATGCTAATATTCAGATATTATTCTTAATAATATTCTTAACCAGCACACTATGGAAACTGTTAAAAAAACTAAGTTGAAATATCTTCTTACTGTATTTACTGAACATCTCTCCCTTCCTCTCCTTCAGCGTCCACCCCGGCCCCTCACCAGAGCTCGTCCTCAGATTGTCCCGCCTCCCAGGCCAGTGACCCGCCCACAGATCACTCCCCTGTAGACCCAGAGGGCGCCTGCAGCAACGCCAAGGAGGAACAATCGGTAAGCCCCTCCCCCCTTGTCAATAACACATGGATTTGAAACAACAAGTGACCACTAATCTATTATCGTCATATGGATGATCTGTTCTCAAGTACATCTCACACAGCAAACGATTCATATGGCAACATGGGATTGATTTTATAGAAAAATGTCAAGTCAATTAAACATAAAAGGTCAAAAATGATTTAAGTGTCTTGATAAGATCGTGAATAATAAGGTGAAATCTCGGTTCGAGGTAATTACAGTCATTATCTAAATGTTTGGCTGATTTTTATGGGAGAAGTAGGAGGAAAAGGTCAACAACTTAGCATGTGACCTGCAAAACTTTGACATCCCTCTTCCTCTCTCAGGGCTCTGATGCTGCAAGGTCGAGCTCTCCGGAGCCCAGCGGAGCTCCTGATGCTCCGCAGGATCAGACCTGTCCACAGGAAGACAGCTAGAGAACAACAGACACCCAGTGGGTATTTCATGGCCCCCTCCTCTCATGTTTGTACTCTTCAGTATCAACTACCTTCACATGGTACTCATGTCATTTTCCTGTGTTCATCCCCCCTGTACTTTTGTCCAACAACTTCCTCCCTCTCATGTGTTCATAACATGAACTCAATAAAGTAAAGGCTTTATTCTTATACACATTAGCAACATCTTAGTTGTTGGCAATACAAATAATAATAGTTGAAAAAGCTCTTTATTCTTCTGCCTGTGCTGCTGCACCTCTTTTCACCCTCTGTCTGAAACCAGAGCCCAGTCTGCTCTGATTGGTATGCTTGCCAACTCTGTTTTAATTGGTCAACCGCTTAGAGATGTCCTCCCCTTAGCTAGCATGTTCATTTACAAGCGTAGTCAATTAAGTTCTAGCTTAAGGTATATGTAGCTAACTTAGCGTCATTATTTGTATGATATCCATTGTTTTTTAACTGTTTTGTGAATTAACGTTAGCATATTTAATGTCTGTAAGCCACCAGTTGCTCATTGAGGAAGATAACGATGTTGGAGCGCTAGCCAATAGAAGCACGAGGATTACATATTGACGTCATCATGTTATGGAAGTGAACAAAGGAGTCTAATGGAGGCGTTTCAGGCAGGCGGGGAGGAGAGTGGTGGGAGAGAAACTCCCTCCAAACAGGGAGCATTATAGCCTTTGCAGACCGTTTACATGCACACAAAAATAACACACTACAGGAAAGGGAAAAATGCCAAAAAGCATAATAGGGCCTCTTTAAGATATTAAACAAATAAGTCATTAACATGTGCGTTAAAATGCAATAATGGTGCAAGTAATATGATTTTATGTATTTCTGATTACTGATGTCAAACTGCAGTCTTCTGACTATATGTTCAATCCAGGCCACCAAATGAAATGCCTGCTTTTTGAAAATAGTTGCTTTCTTTATTAGCTTCATATTAACATTCATCTCCTTTATTCCCTTCCCATGAGAGCTTTGCAGCCCATTATAAAAGAGCCTTGGTTCAGTGTTTCTGTCATCATGTTTCTCTGCATCACCCAAACTAAAGATAAGGAAGGCACAACGTTGCCCCCCTGTGGTTAGATCTGTAACCGAATGAATGCAGATTCCTGATTCAGTCAATCCGTTTGTTCTTTCAGGGAATGGAAGCTCTGAAGGCCAAGACAGAAGAAGCTCACGAGAAAAGAGAAGAAGAGAAGAAGAGAGAGTGACTGTGAGATCTCTTACAGCTGGATTACACTGTTTTTTCAAACCTTTTAAAGGATATTTTTGGCAGTTCTGTAATTAGCTGGCTTTCCTAGGATCTGCTTTTCCTCCAGTGGCCACACACTGCACTGTACTGTACTGTACTGAACTGAACTCCTCAGCATGACAACCAGACTTTGGCTTTATCGTCCAATCAAATTACCTTTCAACCAGGAAGTGACCTTTAATCTTTGATAAACACACAGCGGGAGGCGACTTCCTGTCACGGATTAATGAGTTTACACCTGCAAGGAAGCGTTAAACAGCCATGGTGACACTGATGATGCAAATATTTTTTCACGAGGAGCTGCGTCCTACTGTATGCGGTTGACCTTGGGTTTTGTCAACCGCCACCAGCAAAGACTGTAACACAGCAGATGGATTTTGCCAAATGTTCTCATAGTGTTGCTCCACCGATTCGTCCATTTGCATGAACAGACTCGATGTGGATTCACCTGTGAGCAAAACTGTTCTCTGCGGCTTCCCTCCAGAACCGAAACATATTAAAAAAATATTCTTTTTCTTATTTCATAAGCTGTGAATTCTTAGCTGGTGTCGTTAGAGGCATCGGAATGACTACGAGGCATTGAAGTGGAAATCAAAATTTGCCAAACTATCTATTTTGTAAATAAGAATCCCCCCCCTCCCTTATACCTGAGCCTCTGTGCCATAACATAGCCTCTCTGATGCCAACTACCTGTGTTTCTCTCAAGCAATGTCCTACCAGCACATCCATTTTTTGACGTCTGGATGTTTGTTTCACTTTTGCAGCCATTCATTTCTGAAAAATGTCTTTGTTTCTGTTGGGTCGGTGAGATATGAACTGTGAATCTGTGTTACATGGTCATTTGAAATAAAGCCTGCTGTACCTGTCTCGCTCTGTTTGAGCATGAAAGAACGATAAAGATGGCATCAAGATATCCTGCTATTCTTCAAAGGTTACAGGTTTGTTTTTTTAAGTGAATAGAAAGCAGATTTTCCTGCATCTTTTTCGTTTTTTTTATTAATATTCTACATTTCCAGCTGAGGTCGCATTGTTTACAATTTGCCATTTTGAATCATATCTCTGTTTGGTTTCTTGAATTAATAAGCAGATTAAGAGACAGTAGAGTGCATTTCTATGCCTTATCAGGTTTATTTTTGTTGTCCAGTCACTGTTCTTCTTGTATACAGTAAACAGGTCATTGTTGTAACAAAGCACTTATCGTAGGTCTGCTCCACCCAATCCAAACGGTCAAAAAGAAGGGTTATATAATATGAACAATAGAGATATCACTATTAACTGCTAGACATACAATAACAAACGGTTACTGTACCCCTTGCTCGTGTAAGAAAAATGAGAAATAGTCCAAAATATTTTGTAAATTTTATTTATGGAATTAAGAATTGTCTTCATGAAGAGAAAAAAATGACTTTTGTACGTCTATGACTTCCCCTTACACTGTACCCATGCCACTGTTCATACAAGAATAAAATATCATGTGATTCCCACCATGCTCCATTTTCTTTTATTTGTTCAACCTGATGCTGTTCTTTTTATTAAAAAAAATCTCTAAAGAGAACAAAAGCAGCCAACAGAAGCTGCTCTGCTCACACAAATACTGCAGTGATCTTTAACCATAGTCATGTGACTGCATATGTGATTTAATAGTATAATCACTTGTTCTTTTTTTGTGCTGATCATACTACTTAATCACATAAGCGGCCATCAAAATCATACTTAAATAAAAGCACAGACATTTTCTAAGCAAAGTGCATTTCAAGAACCAAAGTATAAGTTTTAATGCAGAGAAATGGCCACAATTTCAATGGGAATGCTCAATTTATACCAGGCATTTAATTATAGCTGATCCAAGTGGATCTAAACAGGCTTTTATGCAGGTAGGAAGTGTTCTCATGCCTTCCACACAATCAATCTGAAGGGTCATTCAATTATTAATGGTGTGGAAAATGAAAATTAAAAAAGGTTCTGCTGCACATAGTTGTAGAGGTTTGCTTTTGTTGCGAAATATTGGGACATTTGACCTTTAAATGAAACCATCTGGGACTTTTATAACAGAAATCAATTTGTATGGACTTCTAATAACTCATACACATCTGCTTTTTGAAAAGGGATACATGCCAAAATGGTTGGAAAGCCCTTTATTTTACAAGAATATCAAATGTTATTTTGTGAGTAATTCCAGCTGTCAGATAAAGGCAATTATATAATTAAAATAATTGTACTTTTGTTACCACTGCTGCTGTCATAACAAACATGGATTTACAAATTAAATTGCTGTTATGTTGCTTTGCTTCTCCAAGAGTAAACTATAGCTGTGGCAATAGATTGTGTAATTCTGTAATGTCCAAAGTCAATGAAAGTGTGGAGGATACGTCCCCACCTGACCCAGAAAGTGATGCAACTTCTGGTCCAGGCTCTCGCCTAGACTACTGCAACTCCCTCCTGGCTGGTCTACCTGCATGTGCCATCCGACCTCTGCAGCTCATCCAGAATGCAGCGGCTCGTCTGGTCTTCAACCTTCCTAAATTCTCCCACACCACGCCGCTCCTCCGCTCCCTTCACTGGCTTCCAGTAACTGCTAGAATCCACTTCAAGACAATGCGTACCATGCTGTGAATGGATCTGGCCCTTCCTGCATCCAGGACATGGTTAAACCATACACCCCAGCACGTGCACTCCGCTCTGCATCAGCCAAACAGCTCGCTGCACCCGCACTGCGAGGGGGACCCAAGTTCCCATCAGCAAAAACATGTGGGTTTGCTATCCTGGCTCCAAAATGGTGGAATGAGCTCCCCATTGAAATGAGGACAGCAGAAAGCTTACACATCTTCCGGCGCAGACTGAAAACTCATCTCTTTCGACTCCACTTCGAGCGATATAATTACTAACAAAGCACTATATACTAACAAAGGAATGGCTTATCTAAAGCCAGTTGAGTAGCACTTTAAATGTTTTGGCTCTATGAAACCTGATGTACTTATATGATTCTGTTTTCTTCAAGTTTGTATTTTGTTGGTCGAACGGACTTATTGTAAGTCGCTTTGGATAAAAGCGTCAGCTAAATGCAATGTAATGTAATGTAATGGTTCTCTGCGTGTGCCAGTTACTGGAAGAGCACTGTGTGACAAATTTGAGCAAAAAATGCACGCGAGCTAAGAAAATGAAATTCCATTTGCACAAGATTTTCTGTATGGAACCATATCATTATGATATTATACATCATGTTTTCAACGCATTTGTGGGCTTCAAAGCTTTGCTCACCACACACATCTGTTAGCTGAACACTCAATCTCAAACTGACGTGTTTGAATGCGACATTTAGTTTGAAGTGGTATCACACACACACATTCTGTTCTGTAAGCTCAAGCAATACAAATATCCACGCTTGTAACATATGTGATTTCTGCAGACTAATCACTCCATATTTTATTGTTAACATATGTATCATTTGACCCTTCTCAAGGCATGTCCAGCCAATTGGGAACACATTTTGCCATTGTTATTAAAAGTGAAGCTGATGTATAAGTACCTTAAACCTGCATCATTATTCCATGAACAGGTCAAATTAAATAGAAGTATATGAGAAAATTACCCTATGACTTCTTTTATTTATTCTCTCAGTAAACATTCAACTAATGGTGCTTATGGTCTAAATCGCCAGTTCCAAGTCTTCTTCAATTCAACACATTATATTCATTTTATAAATTCTTGTCGTGTTAATGGTAAAAAAAAAGACGAACTGGCAGCGTATGCTTGACAATGGGGCTTATTTGTGATTGAAGGGTCATTCTTACATTGTCTTGGTTTTTGTTTTAGAACTTTAACTCTTTCTCAGCTTTTTATTCATGAAACTTAACTGACTAACAATGTGGTCGCATAAACATGTTCATATTTTGGTTTGATCCACCCTTTCATGCCACTTCTGTTTCCAAGAAAACAAGAGGGCGAAGGACAAAAACCAAGATGGCAGCAGCAAAAATGTCACATTTTAAGCTTCAACAACCTAGTCCACAAACCAATGGTTGACATCATGGTACATATGTCCTATTCTTATTTACTGTCTATAGCCTTACTTTGATTGAAATGATAAAGTTAAAGCTACAAATAAAATGTATCAAGCAGAGAAACACATGGCGGTGGTGGCGAAGCCAATAGGGACTTGGCTTGGCAACTGGAAGGTCTCCAGTTCAAGACCAAGAGCTTCCGAGGTGTCCCTGAGCAAGGCACCATTCCCTACACTGCTCCCAGGTCGCCGTTCATAATGGCAGCCCACTGCTCCTAACACTAGGATGGGTCAAATGCAGAGAAACCATTTTGTTACATAGTACATGTACTGTGAAAAAAAAAAAAAAGGAAAGGAGGAAGAAATGTGAAGCATATTCTCAGTGATGGTTAAAATCTGCACTCTCACAAGTACATGTTATGTGGCACCATCACACCCCATAATGAGAAATATCATTTGGCAATATTGTTTTCCCTCACTGATGTTTAATTGTTCCTTAACCAAATTGGCTTGTTCCCTTTTTCATTCGGGTTCCCACCACTAATTAGGCATGGGATTTAACTGCCGATGACTTTAGAGCTGGATCAGAACACACCCAGCCATTATAAAAAACCCAGGGACCCATAATGTGGTGTGGGCTTGGCCGCTGTAACCATGGGGTGGAGAGACAG